CAGTATGTCAATAGTTAGCAAATAAATAATATTTGCTTCAAATAACATGCTACTGGCTTCAAAGTAACAAGTATCAGTGAGACGAGATGGGCCATGAAGTGATAGTCAAAACTACCCAATAAAGGTAATAAATGGAGGTAACATGGTATTTTCTCTTTGCGTATGTTAAACTTGCCCATACATAATGAAAGCTTACTTTTTTAAAGTTTTGACAAAATCCAACTATAAATACTTTTTCTTCCAAATGATGCATTCTCTCTCAGAACAGGGAATGTTTGTAAAAAGAATTTAACATTGCTTCACAATAATCAATTCTGTCTAGACTTCCCTTTAATACAGCGTCTCTACATGGGCAGGACTAACAATCCCTCTTTCTGTGCAAACAAAATCAGAACAGAGCTGCTGAACACGGACGGCCGAGATTCTAGCGAGATGAGCACAGCCCCATCCCGCAGGTCCCTGCAGGTGCTGAGTGCGGAGGAGCAAGCCGCATACATCCGGGGCCGCAGGGGTCCCGGGACACCCACATCCCGGAGGAGAGTGCTTTCCGAGGGCTCGCACTTCGCAGGCAGTTCACTGAGGCAGCCATGGTCGTGGGTGTGGGAAGGGCGCCAAGAACGCAGGGAAAAGAATCCTGGGTGTGACGTGTAGACGTGACAGCTGTTTATCTAGCAGGGCACTTTGCTTCTGGCCTGGAGGGTCAGCATGCAGCTTACAGTAGGTTCTGAGTAGGGAAGGCCAGAGGGTGGGCTGGGAGACAGGAATGCTGGGCTTGGAAACAGATCCCGAGGTGACGTCAAGAAAGCAGATGTTACAAACCACCACAGATTCTGGCCCCTGGTGCAAGTCACCACCCCCGTCCCCTGTCCCCCATCCCACACACAAGGCCTCCAGGAGACGGACATGGACACCCAGAGGGAGTCTGCCTGAAGCCTGGAGCCCGGGACGCCGTGGGGACAACCAGACGGGCCCACCCTGGAAATGCCTCCTGAGAAATGAGGCCGCGGGGGTGGGTGGAGGAATGGGAGATGTCGGCAAAACCATTTCTAGAAGCAATTATTTAATGTGAAAGGAAACCGTTTTCCAGTTTTTGCCATTACTGTCATTTTGTCTGGTTTTTGGCTTTTAAAGACCACATGATATTTGATTAATTAAAAGCAGAGCGGCTGTCTCAATACGCGTCCTAACATTAGCATTCAGGGTGCGGCCTCCTGAGGACACAAACTAGGACACGGCGGTTTCCTTAAGGTCTTTGCGGGGCTGGACTGGGCTTAGGCACACGTGCCGCATCTGGCAGCTGCAGGGGTTTCCGCCTCACGGATTTTCAAAGGCCTCAGTGACACTCTGGGCGGGCTGTGCACCACAAGGTCCACACTTCCTGGGTTCCCACCCCAGGGCGGCCGGGCAGTCTCAGCCTCCTGGGGTCTCCCGCTGAGGCGGGCCCGCAGGGGGCTGCTGGCCGGGGAGGCGCCCTCCTCTCCTGCCCCCAGCCCGCTGCTGGTAGGCCCGCGCAGAGCTGGGGGCTGCAGGCGAGTCCCAGGGAACCAGGCCGGAGGAGAGGCCCCAGGCGGGAAGGGCCCAAGGGCCTGGGGAAGGACGGGCCGACTTGAAAAGGCCGCTTTTCTCTCTATCCAAGTGAGTCTCAGTCTCGTGAGGAGGGAGTGTCAGGGGCAGCAGGGACACCTCCCAGGGAAGGGCACGGCGTCGGCCAGGCACATGAAGGCAGGTGAGGCCCCCAGGCCCCGTCCCCCGGCTGGGCCAGGCCGCGTCTTGTCCCTCTGCTCTCCCAGCCCCGCCAAGGGCACGGTTCTGGTGGGAACTGGACGCCAGTCTGTCCTGCAGCAGCTCACACCCCCACCCTGCATAGCAGCAGACTCCAGCATGGTGCGAAGGCCAAGCACGGAGGGAAGGACCTGCTCACCACAGGCAGGGCCGGCGGAGGCAGCCGGGACTGCCTCAGTGGCCCTCCTGACGTCCCTCTCCTCCCACCTTGCCTCTGAGACCCCCAGGATGGGGGTGGGGCATACGACCCTACGGCCACCCCTTCCCTGCTCTCCCCAGCCTCAACCCCCACCCCAGCACCAAAGCCCCAGGCCTTCCCCAGGAGGCTCCAGATGGCTGGGATCTTTCCCACTCCCTTGCCCTCCCCATCGACAGGCATCCTTCCACAGCCTGACGGGGAATCACAGACCCAGCAGGCTGAGGAACCTCAGAGGGCATCCTGTTCACAGACGGCGCAGGGCCGGGAGGGTCTCCCCCATCAGGCACCTGCAGCTAATGACCACGGCTTATGTTTATAAACGACACAAGATCCTGGGCAAACAGGATCACAGAGAGCACGGCTCTTCACGCCCTCGGGATCCTGACATAAACGATTACGGGATTGCTACGTCTGTGGCTTCTATCTGCCGGTCGCAGTGCAGGGAGCCCCGTACACATGGCAGGTACAGGCAGCAGCCGGTTCCCCTCCCCGCCCCCACTCCCCGCTCAGCACAGCATAGACTTACTGCAGGATGTGGCCGCTCAGAGGAGGAAATCTGTGGTCATCCCTCAAACCGTCATCGCTGCCATTTTCTGCAGGAAATACCCACGTCTGGCAACAGGTACTCGGGCACTCCGGCTTCCTGTGACCCAGTGCCCTGCGCTCTTGAGCCCTCACAGGTCACGGAGAGCCTTCTGTGGCCCTCGCTTGTTTGTGTATTAGTTCATGTGGGAAGTGAGGCAGACGGAACGTGGTGGACATTCACCAGTGATGCCCTTAGCTGTGGACGCCTCCTTTGGGTGTGACCACCTCACGGCCAACAGCTAGGCATGTCTCCAGACCCCTGACCTTACTTTACAAATTCATTTCTGTGGAAACGGGGTCTTTATCTATCCCAACACAGACGACGTGCACAATGGTGTCTGAGGCGCATGGACTTTCAGAGGCCAGGACACCAAAGGCAGGTCAGAGGGCAGATACACCCTCCCACAGCCGGGCCCGCCGGCACAAAGCTGCAGATCCCCATCCCTCACTCTGGGGACACGGACGGAAAACAATTGGTGTTGCGTTCACCCGACAGCACCAGCCGCCTAGCTGTGCTCATTCCAGCTCTTCCTTGCTTAGAGCCTGGTTCCGGTGCAGCCCACCAGCTAAAACGGCTGCCCCCCCAGAGCCCCTCCCAGCAAGGGTGGCTGTGGGACAGTTCTGACCAGTGAGGCGTGGCCGAGGCTTCCTGGGGCCCCTGGTGCCACCCCAGGGCACGCGAGCAGGAAAGCTGACAAGGGGACGGGGTGGCCCCTCGGCAGTGCAGGTGGGTAGCTTTGCCAGCCATGAACTGCCCACCGTGGGATGAATAAAATCTGTGAGGCCCTGCTGGCCAGGCTTCCCGCTAACTGCGGTGGACACCAATCCTAACGATTCAGAATCGTGTCGCATGCACGTATGTCTACACTCAACAATGCAGTGTGCCAGGTGATCCTTCTGACACGGCACGAGGGGGTGGACAGGGCCCACCCAGTCCCAGGAGCACACAGCCCGGGTCCCGGGGGTGCCCCTGCCCCCACCCCCAGGGCTTCCAGCTCCTGTGCCACAGCCTTCCAGCGCTGCCCAATTCTTTCCATCTTCCCAGCCATCAAGGCTACTGCGGTTTCACCACCTCTGAGCAGGGGTCCCCGGCTTCCTGTCCTGCCACTGGATCCATTCCCTACCGCACGGCTCCCCAGGCCCTGCCTGCCCAGCGCAGCCCTCCCAGCCTGGGCCCTCAGCACGGCGCTTCCTCCTGTGAGCCGGGGCCTCGGTCTGTAGGCCCGCCAGGCTTCTGCCTCTGCCTCCCCAAGCCAGCCCTTTCCTGACCTTTGGGGCTCAGCACAGCGGTCTCCAGCCCCGGGAGGCCTTCTCAGGAACCACCCACACCCTGCACCCCAACACCGCACGCCCAGAGCTCCCATGTCTGCCGGCAGCTGCACAGGCACCCTTCAGCCGTTGGAGGCACCGCACTCCAGCTCTCTCACCTGCTCACCCATCAGGTCTCAGTTGGGATGCCACTCCCTCGTGAGGCCCCAGCCACCCCAACGCTGAGCCCTCCCACCCCTGGCTGTCCTGCACACCTGCTTGGCCAGCCAGAAGCTCTGTGGGGGGCCTAGCCCATTGCTGTGCCTACTCTGCTGAATGCCAACACCAGATGCCACAGACTCTAAATCTCTACATGTAGGGTCCCAAAACTGAATGAAAGGTGGGCGTCAGATGGTACTTCTGGCTCCTCAGCCACAGCATTCTGGCTCAGGAGGGGAGAGGTGAGTGTTATGGGGAGACCTCAGGGCTGGAGGCTGCGCTCTGCCCTCCCTTCAGTTTAACACCTGGGGGCTCTGTGTCCCCAGAATACAGGAACTGAGAGGAACCGAGGTCTCTGTGCCGAGGCGTGAGCTACCCGTGGGGGGTCTGTTGTTCCCCTGCAGGGTCTCTGAGGGTCTGGGGGCTTCAATACTACCGGTCAGACACTGAGTTTCATCTTCTGATCAAAGCACTGTAACAGTGGCTTAAACCACCTCAGCCAAGGCTGAGCAGAACGTGAAGTAGACATGGAGTAACTGAGGACCTAAAATAACCAAAAATAAGCCCAGGTCCCCTCTTACCAGCCCAGGCACGGTCAGAGCACCCCTGGGGCAGCCCTGGGGTCCTGGGAAGGGGCTGGCTCCTCGGGCCAAGAAGCCCCGTCACTGCAGCCTGCGGACCTTCTGACTTCGATCAGGGCTCTTTCCGTCTCCAGAATGTTGACCGTACAACCCACCTCACAGACTCCAGCAACTCAATAACCCATGCGTGTGACTGTCTGGCTCAGTACCTGGCATGTAACAGGTGATCTGCACAGGCTAAGGAAGGTAACCAAGTCTGCCCGAGCTCCTTGTAAATGATGAAGATCTCAATCCTGTAAGGCGGTTTCATCATTTCATACACAGAATGACACATATTACCAGAAACAACCTATTTCCAGTCCTGATGGGCTGCTCCCCAGACTCACCTGAGCTCGGCGCCCCACTGTTTCAAAGAGAAGTTAATGGGGCCGGGGTGCCCTGGAGCCGGCTGACAGGCAGCTTGTTCTCCCACCAGCTCTCCGGGGACCGTCTCCACCGCTAGGACATTTCTGGCTTTTTCTGCAGATGCGTTTGGATGCGGATAAATCAACTCTAGGAGAAAGGCAGATAAACGTCAGTCACCCCAAGCCTCCCCACAGAACTGGGAGTCCTGCCTCAGTACCGACTTGAGACTCCACACGACTATACTGCACATCTCATGGTACATTTTTAACTGGAATTTGTGGGCGCCGTCTGTGTTCCGTGACCACCCTCCTCCACAGCAGTCCCGTGTTCCTCAGAAGATAATGAAATGCGTCCAACCGGCACATGCGCCTGGCGTTGGCCCAGGGAGGCGAGGGCGCCCCAGCTCCTGTGGATCGTCCAGCCTGGCCTGGAGCTGTCATGCAGGCCCCCTCTCCTGCTCGCCTGCCCCAGCGAGGACAGTCTCCAAGACAAACCGTCTGGTGAGGGGAGCGGTGAGTGTGTCAGTCTGTACTGACACTGCTCTTTCTCGGAGAAAGGGGGGGCGACAAGGCACGTATCTGCTCACAGTGACCCCGGAAACACGGTTGCGCCCCACAGTCGGCGAGCCCGAGGGCGACAGCACTGGCGCTGGGACACGGCCAGACTTCAGAACACAGTGTCTTTAAAATGGAAGCTCTTGAAATATTTAAGGTTCAAATGATAAGGATGTGCTTCAAAATAACAGTATGTCAATAGTTAGCAAATAAATAATATTTGCTTCAAATAACATGCTACTGGCTTCAAAGTAACAAGTATCAGTGAGACGAGATGGGCCATGAAGTGATAGTCAAAACTACCCAATAAAGGTAATAAATGGAGGTAACATGGTATTTTCTCTTTGCGTATGTTAAACTTGCCCATACATAATGAAAGCTTACTTTTTTAAAGTTTTGACAAAATCCAACTATAAATACTTTTTCTTCCAAATGATGCATTCTCTCTCAGAACAGGGAATGTTTGTAAAAAGAATTTAACATTGCTTCACAATAATCAATTCTGTCTAGACTTCCCTTTAATACAGCGTCTCTACATGGGCAGGACTAACAATCCCTCTTTCTGTGCAAACAAAATCAGAACAGAGCTGCTGAACACGGACGGCCGAGATTCTAGCGAGATGAGCACAGCCCCATCCCGCAGGTCCCTGCAGGTGCTGAGTGCGGAGGAGCAAGCCGCATACATCCGGGGCCGCAGGGGTCCCGGGACACCCACATCCCGGAGGAGAGTGCTTTCCGAGGGCTCGCACTTCGCAGGCAGTTCACTGAGGCAGCCATGGTCGTGGGTGTGGGAAGGGCGCCAAGAACGCAGGGAAAAGAATCCTGGGTGTGACGTGTAGACGTGACAGCTGTTTATCTAGCAGGGCACTTTGCTTCTGGCCTGGAGGGTCAGCATGCAGCTTACAGTAGGTTCTGAGTAGGGAAGGCCAGAGGGTGGGCTGGGAGACAGGAATGCTGGGCTTGGAAACAGATCCCGAGGTGACGTCAAGAAAGCAGATGTTACAAACCACCACAGATTCTGGCCCCTGGTGCAAGTCACCACCCCCGTCCCCTGTCCCCCATCCCACACACAAGGCCTCCAGGAGACGGACATGGACACCCAGAGGGAGTCTGCCTGAAGCCTGGAGCCCGGGACGCCGTGGGGACAACCAGACGGGCCCACCCTGGAAATGCCTCCTGAGAAATGAGGCCGCGGGGGTGGGTGGAGGAATGGGAGATGTCGGCAAAACCATTTCTAGAAGCAATTATTTAATGTGAAAGGAAACCGTTTTCCAGTTTTTGCCATTACTGTCATTTTGTCTGGTTTTTGGCTTTTAAAGACCACATGATATTTGATTAATTAAAAGCAGAGCGGCTGTCTCAATACGCGTCCTAACATTAGCATTCAGGGTGCGGCCTCCTGAGGACACAAACTAGGACACGGCGGTTTCCTTAAGGTCTTTGCGGGGCTGGACTGGGCTTAGGCACACGTGCCGCATCTGGCAGCTGCAGGGGTTTCCGCCTCACGGATTTTCAAAGGCCTCAGTGACACTCTGGGCGGGCTGTGCACCACAAGGTCCACACTTCCTGGGTTCCCACCCCAGGGCGGCCGGGCAGTCTCAGCCTCCTGGGGTCTCCCGCTGAGGCGGGCCCGCAGGGGGCTGCTGGCCGGGGAGGCGCCCTCCTCTCCTGCCCCCAGCCCGCTGCTGGTAGGCCCGCGCAGAGCTGGGGGCTGCAGGCGAGTCCCAGGGAACCAGGCCGGAGGAGAGGCCCCAGGCGGGAAGGGCCCAAGGGCCTGGGGAAGGACGGGCCGACTTGAAAAGGCCGCTTTTCTCTCTATCCAAGTGAGTCTCAGTCTCGTGAGGAGGGAGTGTCAGGGGCAGCAGGGACACCTCCCAGGGAAGGGCACGGCGTCGGCCAGGCACATGAAGGCAGGTGAGGCCCCCAGGCCCCGTCCCCCGGCTGGGCCAGGCCGCGTCTTGTCCCTCTGCTCTCCCAGCCCCGCCAAGGGCACGGTTCTGGTGGGAACTGGACGCCAGTCTGTCCTGCAGCAGCTCACACCCCCACCCTGCATAGCAGCAGACTCCAGCATGGTGCGAAGGCCAAGCACGGAGGGAAGGACCTGCTCACCACAGGCAGGGCCGGCGGAGGCAGCCGGGACTGCCTCAGTGGCCCTCCTGACGTCCCTCTCCTCCCACCTTGCCTCTGAGACCCCCAGGATGGGGGTGGGGCATACGACCCTACGGCCACCCCTTCCCTGCTCTCCCCAGCCTCAACCCCCACCCCAGCACCAAAGCCCCAGGCCTTCCCCAGGAGGCTCCAGATGGCTGGGATCTTTCCCACTCCCTTGCCCTCCCCATCGACAGGCATCCTTCCACAGCCTGACGGGGAATCACAGACCCAGCAGGCTGAGGAACCTCAGAGGGCATCCTGTTCACAGACGGCGCAGGGCCGGGAGGGTCTCCCCCATCAGGCACCTGCAGCTAATGACCACGGCTTATGTTTATAAACGACACAAGATCCTGGGCAAACAGGATCACAGAGAGCACGGCTCTTCACGCCCTCGGGATCCTGACATAAACGATTACGGGATTGCTACGTCTGTGGCTTCTATCTGCCGGTCGCAGTGCAGGGAGCCCCGTACACATGGCAGGTACAGGCAGCAGCCGGTTCCCCTCCCCGCCCCCACTCCCCGCTCAGCACAGCATAGACTTACTGCAGGATGTGGCCGCTCAGAGGAGGAAATCTGTGGTCATCCCTCAAACCGTCATCGCTGCCATTTTCTGCAGGAAATACCCACGTCTGGCAACAGGTACTCGGGCACTCCGGCTTCCTGTGACCCAGTGCCCTGCGCTCTTGAGCCCTCACAGGTCACGGAGAGCCTTCTGTGGCCCTCGCTTGTTTGTGTATTAGTTCATGTGGGAAGTGAGGCAGACGGAACGTGGTGGACATTCACCAGTGATGCCCTTAGCTGTGGACGCCTCCTTTGGGTGTGACCACCTCACGGCCAACAGCTAGGCATGTCTCCAGACCCCTGACCTTACTTTACAAATTCATTTCTGTGGAAACGGGGTCTTTATCTATCCCAACACAGACGACGTGCACAATGGTGTCTGAGGCGCATGGACTTTCAGAGGCCAGGACACCAAAGGCAGGTCAGAGGGCAGATACACCCTCCCACAGCCGGGCCCGCCGGCACAAAGCTGCAGATCCCCATCCCTCACTCTGGGGACACGGACGGAAAACAATTGGTGTTGCGTTCACCCGACAGCACCAGCCGCCTAGCTGTGCTCATTCCAGCTCTTCCTTGCTTAGAGCCTGGTTCCGGTGCAGCCCACCAGCTAAAACGGCTGCCCCCCCAGAGCCCCTCCCAGCAAGGGTGGCTGTGGGACAGTTCTGACCAGTGAGGCGTGGCCGAGGCTTCCTGGGGCCCCTGGTGCCACCCCAGGGCACGCGAGCAGGAAAGCTGACAAGGGGACGGGGTGGCCCCTCGGCAGTGCAGGTGGGTAGCTTTGCCAGCCATGAACTGCCCACCGTGGGATGAATAAAATCTGTGAGGCCCTGCTGGCCAGGCTTCCCGCTAACTGCGGTGGACACCAATCCTAACGATTCAGAATCGTGTCGCATGCACGTATGTCTACACTCAACAATGCAGTGTGCCAGGTGATCCTTCTGACACGGCACGAGGGGGTGGACAGGGCCCACCCAGTCCCAGGAGCACACAGCCCGGGTCCCGGGGGTGCCCCTGCCCCCACCCCCAGGGCTTCCAGCTCCTGTGCCACAGCCTTCCAGCGCTGCCCAATTCTTTCCATCTTCCCAGCCATCAAGGCTACTGCGGTTTCACCACCTCTGAGCAGGGGTCCCCGGCTTCCTGTCCTGCCACTGGATCCATTCCCTACCGCACGGCTCCCCAGGCCCTGCCTGCCCAGCGCAGCCCTCCCAGCCTGGGCCCTCAGCACGGCGCTTCCTCCTGTGAGCCGGGGCCTCGGTCTGTAGGCCCGCCAGGCTTCTGCCTCTGCCTCCCCAAGCCAGCCCTTTCCTGACCTTTGGGGCTCAGCACAGCGGTCTCCAGCCCCGGGAGGCCTTCTCAGGAACCACCCACACCCTGCACCCCAACACCGCACGCCCAGAGCTCCCATGTCTGCCGGCAGCTGCACAGGCACCCTTCAGCCGTTGGAGGCACCGCACTCCAGCTCTCTCACCTGCTCACCCATCAGGTCTCAGTTGGGATGCCACTCCCTCGTGAGGCCCCAGCCACCCCAACGCTGAGCCCTCCCACCCCTGGCTGTCCTGCACACCTGCTTGGCCAGCCAGAAGCTCTGTGGGGGGCCTAGCCCATTGCTGTGCCTACTCTGCTGAATGCCAACACCAGATGCCACAGACTCTAAATCTCTACATGTAGGGTCCCAAAACTGAATGAAAGGTGGGCGTCAGATGGTACTTCTGGCTCCTCAGCCACAGCATTCTGGCTCAGGAGGGGAGAGGTGAGTGTTATGGGGAGACCTCAGGGCTGGAGGCTGCGCTCTGCCCTCCCTTCAGTTTAACACCTGGGGGCTCTGTGTCCCCAGAATACAGGAACTGAGAGGAACCGAGGTCTCTGTGCCGAGGCGTGAGCTACCCGTGGGGGGTCTGTTGTTCCCCTGCAGGGTCTCTGAGGGTCTGGGGGCTTCAATACTACCGGTCAGACACTGAGTTTCATCTTCTGATCAAAGCACTGTAACAGTGGCTTAAACCACCTCAGCCAAGGCTGAGCAGAACGTGAAGTAGACATGGAGTAACTGAGGACCAGGCCTGCCCAGCCTCCTGGGCTGCTGAGGGCCTCCTAAGCTCTGTAGGCACACGGGAATCCCCAGGACAGAGGGTTATGCTGCTAAAAATACTGTGACCAGTGAAGGAAGGTCAGCAGGAAAACGGGATTTGCAGGAAAAAACAAGGTCCAGGAAGGCATCTGTTTCTGAAACGAGGCAGTGGCGCATGAACCAACAGCAGCCCTGGTTGGGGGACCTGGGCCCGTGAGCAGAGTGCCTGCGCCCGATGCCCTGACGGGCCTCCCATCCCACGTGCCAGCCAGCCTCTGCCGCCTTCGGTGTGGGTGCCTGCCTTTGATCTTTAGGAAGGGGTGCTGACGGCCTGTCCTCTCCACGCCTTACTTCAGGGATGAGGCGCCTGCATTCTTATGGGTTTGCTCTTCCATAGAGGGAGGGGCCCCCAAACTGCCCCACCCCGTCTTTGCAGGGGGCAGGATGGTTGGCAAACAACTGTTCTTTTTGACAGTACTCAATTCAACCAACCAGTCATGCGCAGATCATGGGGTTTTAATTTTGATACCCAAGTATAAAACCACATTATCTCTATACTGCAATTGGCAGGGGTACCGTGAGTTGTGGAAATGCCACAAAACATCAGCATTGGACGGCTGGTCTTCCTAAGAAACTTTACTGCATCGCCAATGGCATGCCTGGGAATGCCTCTCCAGGTACCTGCACCTGGGAACCCAGCCATGCCCAGGCAGAGCGTGTGGATGGGAGCGCTGCCCCCACAACGTCCCACAGGCTGGCCTTGGCCGCACCCTCAGCCAGGTCCTTGCCACCGACCTTACCCAACTCCTGAGGTCATTATTAAGCTCAAACCTGACCTGACCATATGTAGCAAGGATGGAATGCTGCCTACTCACAAGGCAGCACACCAGCTTTCACTCTGCATTTCCCTGCTGAGCGGCCTTGTTACACCAAATGGCTACATGCAAAGAACCTCCACCTCCCACTTACCTGTGTTGCCTTTGGCTACCAGACCCTTAGAAAAGTCCCCAGGCACTGGGGAGGTCCTGCTGTCCCACTTCACCATGTCAAGGCTGTTGCAATATTCCCATCTCTTCTGCTGAAGCTCCTGCAACCAGTAGGTCATGAGCTGATGATTAGGAGCCTAGACAGAGGGCAAAAATAAGACGAAGAGCTTAAATATTATGTTTTGTGAGGAGAGATTGCACCCCTTGCTAAGAACAGATGAAAGAGATGTCAATTTCAAGACTTTGGCCAGTTTTGCTCACAAGTTGGTCAAACAAACAGTTGACATCAATAATTTAACCCTATCAAAAAACTTTTTCAACTCTGTAACGTAAAACTACAGAATGAGTACGACATTTTCCTCAGAGGTCTTAGGAAGGCTCGGTACTTTGCTGCCCTTTCACTCTGAGCACCTATAAACCCATGTCAATACATTAAATCGCACACATGACATCCTTGCCAAGTCACATCAAATAATGGTACTGAAGCCGTGAGCACCTCGGAGGGTACAGAGGAAACTGCAGACGGAAGCCAGAGGCGCACACACTGTGTAGAGGGCAACACCAAGTCCCAGAGCAACTGCAGGTCCCATACACACTGCCAGGTAAACGGTGCCCCCTCTTAGAAACAGCCTGATGGCCCCACATAGCTACGTGCCTTCCAAGGACCTGGCAGTCCTGCTTCCAGGTCGGGAGGCACAAAGCATCATTCACACAAAACCCATGTGTGAGCTCAGAGGCTTTATTCAAAATGACCGAAACTGACAAACCGATGTCCTTCTGCCAAGCAGGTAAACTGTGGCATGCCCACACATGGCACTGCTGGCAGCAGGGAGCCAACCATGGCTCCCCAGAGTGGGTGCTCACGCACGCTGTGGGAAAGGGCCGGGTCACCCGTGATGCCAGCGACGGGCGTCAGGAAGGCGAAACTGGGAGGACGGGAAACACCTGTGGTTGCGGGGCTTGGGATGAGGGGGGCAGGTGGTGACGAAGGGATGGTGCGGGGCCCTCTGGGGGACGGAGCTGTTCTGCATCATGACTGCATCTGTTCAAATGCACAGATTGGATATTTATAACAGAGTGAATTTCAGCATATGTACATTAAACAACAATAAAACAGCCAAGAAGCAGAGGCGGCCCAACAAGGAACAGCCAGGGGTCACCGTCCCGGGCTGCCCCACCCGGGGGTCCCCAGAAGCATGCCACGGCACGGCTATGGCAACCTCACCAGCACGGGCATCCAGGAAGGGCAGCAGACAGGACACAGGGGTCCCCATGGTCCCAGGCAATCTGGAAACTGCTGTGCAGGCCCGACAGCAGGTGCCAGGCCTAGAGACCAAACAGAGGACGGCCTCGGCGCTCTGGCTGTGCCCAGCAGCCCTTGCAGGGGCGTTGTGCACGGCACCGGGCAGAGGAGTCCATCCCCCTGAGGACCTCGGGGTTTTCTGCAGAACATCCTTAAGTCTCAGCCAGACCATCGTCTCACCTGCCCAGCCGGCCAGCATCTACGAACACTTGTCTACCGGGTGTCAGGATCGGGCGTCAGGATCGGGCTTGGTGGGTAAGACAGACAGGAAAAACAAGCCAGTGGTTTCAGGAAGGTGTCAAGTGCAAGGGCAGAGGGCAGAGCCGGGGTGGGGCTGCCACAGACGGAGTCCTGATGGGAGACACATATCTGGGTGGGGCAGGGTCAAGTGTTTAGGGAACCTGCCCCTGCAGACTCAAAAGGGTCAAAGTATTGGTTTAATGTCTATCTTCTCCAATAAAAAACTCCAAGGTGTCTTCATTTTTCTAGCATCTGGCTCCGTTCCAGACACATAGTAGGTCTGTATTTGTTGAATAAATAAGAAATGAATGAACAAATAATCAGGAGGGGACACATGAGCCTGGTCTTAAAGGGGAAGCGGGCAGTGGCCACAGGACTGGGCAGAGAGGCTTCAAGCAGAGCAGCGTGCACGGCCCAGAGGCAAGGGAGGACGGGGAGGCGGGGCCAGGACAGGCCCCAGGCCCTAGCGTCTTCCAGACGCTCCGCTGGGCGATGGCATGATCAGACATGGGCTTCAGGGAAGGGAGGAGAATGGCCCAGGTCCAGAAGCCCCGAGCCCACTGGAGAGACCCCGGAGCGTGTGCGTGTTCTGTGCGCATGTGGACGCACCGGCACGTCTCTTCTCCCACCGCTCCCCTGCTGTCCGGGTTCCCATCCCAACCCAGGAGAGAACCACCAGCTGCCACAAGCCTTCCTCCAGACAGCAGGTGCCCGGCTCTGTCTGTGCCGCTCAGGAAGCCAGGCTCAGAGAAGCACGGGATCAGAGAAGCACGAACCTCTCCAGCTGCCACCCCCAACACAGGCACCATGAAAAATCTGTTACAAGAGTCTTTTCCCTTTAAATCTGGGCATTAAATCTAACCGGGGAACAATTAGTAACCTCTTAATCATCCCTCACTGAATTCCTGGGACAAAAAAAATTTTTTAATCACATGCTTTTAACATTTGACATATTATTCATGTCAGAGAAATCTGGTCGGTAAGGCAGGAAAAACTACCTCGAGACAGTGATTAACTTCCCTTTCTTTTAAAAAATCTCAAAAGTCACTCAGAGCAGCTGGACTGCAGCCCCGAGCAGCTGGTGGGAGGTTCTGGCGGCCTTTGCGGAGCCAGACAGGCAGAAAGGTCCTTCCCTGGGGACAGAAACACGCAGGTTTAAGGCCGGCAGTGTTGGCACAGCACAGCCATTGGGCGAGATTTGGCCTCGTTCGGTCATAGAGGCAGAGCCACAAACTAGTCTCCTGTCCCCCAACATGTGAAGTTAGCCCAGATCTGCCGTCCAGCACAGCTGCCACCAGGAAGCACAGGAAAGGCAGCCAGTGCCATGGGATGAAATATTCTAGGTTCACTGGATTAAACAAAACATATTGATTGAAGTTAATTTTACTTGTTGAATGTGGGTACTGGGAAACTGGAGGCATGTACTTGGCTCACATTATATCTGTACTGAACAGTGCAGGACGGCAGATATATTCCATTTTGAGAACCACAGTTGGCGGGAAGCCCAGCAAGTGGTGAACGGGCTTAGGGATTCAAACATAAGACGAGGACAAGGGTTCTTGGGGGTATGGGGCAGCCAGCCCCCAAGGGCTTCACAACTCAAGACGACCTCTTCTTTAACCAGGCCTCGTGTCCCCATCTGTCCCAACATGGAGATGCCAACATGAAGGGGCCCAATAGGATGGGTGGCTGGCTGGCTGCACCGCGCTACGGCCTCTCCTGCCCCTCCCAAAGCGGGCAAGTAGGACCCTCTGCTTGCTGGCTTCAGCTTGATGGTCTATCACCAGTTTTCGCCAGAAAGCGAGAGCCCCTGCCAGTCAGCACTGAAATTAATCACTATCGCACCATATCGGCCCAGCTCCCAACAGCTGGAGGGCCAAGGAGCGTGGCTGGGGGAGAACCAGCGTCTGCCCTGCCCGCCAATGACAATGTAGCCTCTAACCTCAGTTCTCTAGAGCCAGATGGACACTCCAATCGGGCTAGAAGGGGCAGAGATGAGGGCACGCTGCCCAGCTCTGCAGGGAGCAAGGGCTTGTGCCAGGCAGGCATCCGGCAAGAGAGCAGTGTTAGCATCTGCTGAGGTTCAGGGGAACCAGAGCCTGAGGCTCCCACGGCACGGGCCTCTTCAACTCCTACACACCCTTCAAAGCCCAATGCAAACGCCACTTCCAGGGAAGGCTGCCCTGACGTGAGTTGGCGTGTTCTCTCTGTGCTCACACCACACAGCCCAGGGGAGCCTTCCGTGGGGGTGGGGGCACTCGCATGTTCCTCACTAGTCTAAGTTCACTGGAGGCAGAGGTTAGACCTGCAGCTTTCAGTTTGGTCCCTCCTGTGCTCAGCGACTGCTGAGCACCTACTGCCTCAAACTGCTAAAAAGACGGTCCAAATACATCACCGCCCACCCTGAGGTGGCGATCCTGGGAGCCATCCCATTGTCCCCTGCCCAACGCATGGGTGACCCAGGGGGTCAGGGGCACCAGGACTGGTATGGCAGACACCTGCTGCACTCAGCTGCCATGGAGGCGAGATGCCAGTTCAGAGGATGGAACTGGGCCATCCACATCCGCTCGGGGTGCAACCCACTCCTTGAGAGCTTCTGGCAAGACCCACGTGGTGCCCCAGCCGCCCCACGAGCCTCCGTCCCCAGCCCTCCAGAAGCCCACTCTTGGAGAGGGAGGCCCCAGCCACCTGTCTGTCCCTTCAGGGACCTCCCTCCTCCCAAGCCCAGCTCTCTCCTAGGTGCCCAGAAAAGTCCCAAATAAGGTCATTTGATGGCCCTCCTTTCTGCATTACGGGCCCACTCCTGGTGAGCGGGTGCAGTCCTGGGGGCCAGGAGCTGAAGCAGCAGTCCTGCAGCCCTTGCAGGGCGCCAGGCCTGGTCCCCCAACTCCATTCCCTCCTCACGGCCGAGCCAGCTCTTGTCCTCCGGTCTCCAGCCCCTTGGGGAAGTATCTCCACCCATCAGAGCCGAGCACATTTTAGAAGCTGCACTAATTAATGATCCTCAACTCCCCGCCACATGCCTTTCCTGGGAATCTGTCTAAGAAGCCCAAAAGGAGGAAAAGACAAAAAAACCATGGACACAGATGCTGTTCATTCACTTGGCAAATGTTTACTGGGAGCCTGACGTTGGCCAAGTGCAGCAGCCAAGCCCGGCACGGGACTGCTTGAGGCCAGCCGGCTCTTCCTCGGGGCCTCTCCTGGCAAGCAAACGGCTCCCTTGACAGGAGCAACCAACAGGACATGTTCACAGTCACAAGCAGAACCGAGAAGGCCAAGGCATGCACTTAAGAGATCCTATTCATTACAGAAACTTTGTAAAATCCAGGCAAAATTCTAAAAGTTCTTCAAAGCAGGGCAGAGATTACTACATTAGCCTGAAGTTTAAGCTTTGAGAATTCTGAAAAAATAAATAAGGCCTGGGCTCTGCCCCACCCAACAGGTAAGCATGTTACACAGCCACACGATTAAATCAGTGCTGTCCTGCCAGAGAACCAAGCCGCAGAGCTACACAGATGTCAGGTGGAGCACTTGAAGTAAACTCAGTGGGAAAAGGATTAATTATTAGACAGTGGCATTAGGACAACTGGCTAA